GCGCCCTTCTGAATTCAGACGGCCGTGGTCAGGATTCAAAAGTCCGATTCTTAAGACTTTGAATTCTTTACATTCTTAAATTTTTGGACTTATTCCGATTCCTAAAATTGTTCAAATTATTTTTCACACTGCTAGCTTTCTAATTCTTCTGATAATTGGGATACTTTAGCATAATATATTGATAGTTAAGTGGAAGAGCAGGGCTAATGGATTTCCCGTTAGCATCTGAACTTCGCCCTTTTAAATTGCGCACTTGTACATATTATTATTAAATTAAGATATTCTTGTTACCTTATATGATTAGCGTATTTTAATAAACGACATGATTATTATTATTATTTATTATTATTATAATAGGGTTAAACTTCCACCCTATTTACATATGTCCTGGCGCCTATGATTTTGATGTGCTTTACTGAAGTTATTGGGAACGAGATTCCTCGTAGTGGAAGATGATATTCTTCGAGTTGATGTGGGTGGTTCAAATCCAGGTTGAACTATGAAATCTTGTATAGTGGGTCGTGTAAATTGTGTAGCTGAAATTTCGGTCATTCAAAAAGAATAAAGTTAATTCGAATTAAGTTGAATTAGAATTATTGCATAATACATGTCCATGCATGCTGAAAGTATAGGGTAATTCCGGGATAGATGCCACTGCGGTAGAGATGCCGAACTCGTTTTTCTGCAAATATTAACGGTCAGGTGACTTCACTGTGCAATTAAGTTGTAGCGCTATTTACGGTGATCAAACGTATGTCATAACCGCTGAAAAATTCAACTGTAGAGGTAAGTTATGAACTATTATACGTTTTTAGCATGTCGAAAATTTCCAAGTGCATGAGTTCAACTTGTTTATTGACTACATAAACATACGTTGTATATTATTTGCATATAACAAGGTGATAGAGTAATAAGTAGGGTTATGTTTCGTTGCGCTAGCCATGCATTTGGAAGCATTCAGTTCTTCTTACATCGTTAGGCATCTCTCCCTGACAAACGGGAGAGATGCCAATTTCATTCAGGGTGTGATGCCGTTAACCTACTGTTGTATATTTTTTAGAAATGCCTACTGTGTATACAAAAAAATGCCCTTCGCGAGGTAAATGGACCGAGGAAATGCTGCGTACTGCTGTACAAAGTGTTTCTGATGGAACAGATATTAATGAAGCCGCGAGAATATATAATATTCCACTTCGAACCTTAAAACGACGCATTGAAAAGAAAAATTTTACCAAAGGAAGAATGGGACCAGCTAGTTTGTTGGGCGAGGAGGGAGAAAAGAAAATGGTTCAGCATATAAAACGGTTACAAGAACGAGGATTTACTCCTACAAGGCTAGATGTTAGAGAGATGGCATTTAGATTAGCGGAAAAATTGAAAATACCTCATAAATTCGATTCTGAAAAACAGCTTGCAGGTTACGATTGGCTAGCATCTTTCTTACGGAGGAATCCTGAATTGTCGGTAAGGAAAGCAGAAGGATTGTCTAGACAGCGAAGTCTTGGTATGAACAAAAATATTGTACAAAATTATTTCCAATTGCTTAAGAACATTTTGGAGGAACATAATTTGTTTAATAAGCCATCCAATATATACAATATGGACGAGAGCGGTCTTCAGCTAAACAACAGACCTGGTGAGGTAATTGCTGGAAAAGGATCAAAAGTGGTGACTGCTTTAACTGCTGCAGAAAAGGGCGAGACCATTACTGTGGTAGCTTGCTGCAATGGAGAGGGCACTTTCCTACCACCAGCGTGTATTTTCAAAGGAAAGAACAAGAAAGCGGAATTTGAAGATGGAATGCCTGCCGGATCTGTTGTTTATATGTGCCAAAAGTCTGCTTATATTAATTCAGACATATTCTTAGAATGGCTCAAAACTCACTTCCTACCGCGGAAACCTGCAGGGAAGGTACTTTTACTATTGGATGGCCACGCTTCCCATTGCAATTCCATAGAAACTCTATCATTTGCAGAAGAACATGATATAATTCTGCTATGCTTACCGCCGCACACCACTCACTACCTTCAGCCACTTGACCGAGCATTCTTCAAGTCATTAAAATCTGCTTTCTACCAAGCGTGCAATGTTTGGGTGAAAACGAATGCTGACAGGAGAATAACTCGACTGGTGTTTGGAAAGCTGTTAAATATCGCCTGGGGGAAGGCAGCGTCTGTTCAGAACGGAACTTCTGGTTTTAAGGCGACAGGTAAGAAAAAAGTAGACCTAATATCCACATTGGTACCACTAAAAATGTAATGGCATTTTAGGTATCTCTCCGTATAATCCGGACAGTATTCCTGACTACGCTTACACAACTGGCCCTGAAGATGCAGAAGGTGATAAATTAGATTTAGAACAACCTCAAAGGTCCAGTCCACAACCATCTACATCTCAAGAAATTCCGCAAAACGAAGAACCTCGTTCAGCACCCCAAATTCACCCAGATCCTATTGATGAAGCTGAAAAGCTGACGCCTGGGAAAGCGTTAACTATTGTTGCACCCGTTCCAAGTGTGGCAGTTCTAAATGTAACAAAAAGAGCACGAAAGGTAGCTGAGGAACTCACCAGCCCAGAAAATATAGAAAAACGCCGTAAGATACAACAGGCAAAAAACGACGCCCTTTTAAAAAAGAAAAGTTCAACAAAAGGCAAGAGGAAACCGTTATCAGTTTCTGTAAAAGGCAAAATGAGTGCATCTACAGTTCCAAAGGGGAGGAAGGCACTCTCTGACTCAAGCGATGGTGAATCCGATATATCATTGCATGACAGCAGTACAAACGAAGAAAACGATGATGACACAGCATGCACAGGATGTGGCGAACAGTATCACACAACTAAAAAAAAAGAAGATTGGATCAAGTGCCTTCACTGCGAGAATTGGCTGCACGAAGGTTGTTCCAAATTTGAAAATTTGTGCGAATACTGCGCAAAACTCCTCTTAAAAAAGAAAAACTAATGATGGCATCTCACCCAAATGGTAATGGCATCTCTCCCACAGTGCGTGGGTGAGATGCCCCAAATGATACCAGCACAAAAAAATTATTATAAATTTTATAGCGTGTCCTAATGCGCAAGTGATTAGTAATTACTAAAGATGATTATATGCCGAATCATTGTCCTAACTTACATGTAAAAAATAAGAAAACCTTTAAAATAATAAATGATATTAGAAAATTTGAGCATCTCTCCCGGAATTACCCTATGAAATAAAATGTTTTACATTATTTGTATGTCAAATCAGTTTACGTTACTCGTTTCGAAATTCCTGCCTCAGCTACGCTTCGGCAGTAAACATCTCACTCGTTAACGTAAACCTTGATTTACCATACTTATATGTAAATAACTATTACATAATAGTCAGGAAAATGGCACATTACTGGCGAGGAAATATTGAAGTGCGAGGCCCCTTGGGGCCGTGTACTTTAATTTCCGAGTCAACTAATGTCATTTTACTGACGAGTTTTGTATTAAATTTTACCCGAAATCGTATTTTAGTATAATATCGTATAACATTTCAATTTGTATATAAAACTGTTGTCAATCTGTCAGTGATGACAGGAGTCATTATAGACATTTAGCAATGTCAAAAATGCGCCGGTAAAGAGACGGTGCGGCCGGAATGTGATAGCTGCCGCCAGTAAAGTGACAAGCGGCAGGAAACGTAGTTTGCTCTGCCTGTGTCATGGAAACTAAAATTTCCTGACAGAAAGTAGGCATGAAAATGAAGGTTTGAGGACGATTTTGGGTAAACATAAATATTTGGTGTACTGCGCAAAATCGACACCCTTCTCAATGCGAATAAAATAATCAGTAGGTAAAACTGAATTTCTAAGAATAATACTTCATTTCATTTGTATGTGTGTCCAAAGCAAGGTCTAAAGGTTTGTTATAGACTATTTAAAGAAAATCTGAATCAAAGAAGCAAAATATTTGATTTACTGGCAAAGTTGAAAGTTAAAAATTCATACAAAAAAGTGAAACCTGACGCGTACTCCTAAACAGAAACAAGGGTGCGATTCTAATTTGAACAAAACTTGGATACCTTTCAACATGAACATAAATAACTAAATTGCTAGTTCTTGAAAATTAAAAAAAAATGTTATTTGCAATTCTTGACCATATTCCTACGCGTAAAACAAATATTATACAAAAATTACTTTCTTCTATAATATGAAATGTATCTCTGCGTAAGACTTTCAAGGGAAGATGTGGTTTTTTTTCATTCGTATGTAGAACATATCCCCCAGTTTTAGATTATATCCAGCCACTTTGATAAAATTCAGACTATGAAATACCTACTTTTATACAAATTCCGAAAGCCCAAAGAAGAAAATTAAAGAAGAAATTCAAATGTTGTGTAAGGTGTGCGATTACCGTAAATAATCTTCTTGATACGCCCTTTTTCGAAAATGATGAATTATGTATTTTAAAAAAAGTTATTAAAACTGTGAAGCTCTAAATTTAAGAAATCTTTATGTCAATCGAGTTTTGATAAGTACACACAGGAAAATGGGACTTTCTTCCGGTGTTACATAAGACTTTTATACAGATGACGTGTTAAAAATTCATTCCGGAAGTGGTTGTAGTTAGAAACTCCGGGTTTTCACCCGTACGCACAGGGAGGAACTGAGTGTACTAAAAATTTCCGGTGTAGGAAAATGTGGAACTCCAAATTTTAGAAAATCATTTTTTTACATTACAAGCTATGGTAAAATTATTGGTTCGTGGTCCAGTTTATATTAAAGAATTAAACAATACCTATGAAAGGTCGTTGTGACACTAAGACCTACGGAGTTGTGTACGATTGACTGATTGGTATTGATTTATGGGAACTTACGCCAATGACCTAATTATCTGCTATGAAGAAAAACTGATCAAGTATGACGAAATGATCAATTCCGTTTGTCAATGGCGCAAATTATGCTTGTATCTACTAATAGACGGCCATGATTGCTTTCAACTTCAAACAAGAAGAAACAAATGAGTAAAAGCACTAACATATTTTTGACATTTGTGACCTTTACAACAAATACCTGCTGCATTAAATATGAAAAAGGTAAGCACTTTGTATCTATTATTATCAAACAAGCGTTTAGGTACCTACTTAAATTTCAGAGCAGACCTTAGACCATATAGTACATGGACTGCTAATTGTAATAAAATATGGTCAAGGACATCGCCTGGGTATGTGAGTTTCAGGGTAAACGAGTCTGCCCGAAATTGTCCGATACCCACGACTACAGTGCCCTCTATCCGTGACCACCCATTTTGTATTGAAAGCATAGTCCATGTACCTACTATATGGTCTAAGGAGCAGACTCTATCATATTTTGTTTTTAGAAATATCACTGCTGTATTCCCGGGTGTCTGACGTATGACACTTTGGACAACTTTGTACAATTGCCATCCGAAACGGAATGGCGTAACAAATGGTTATCGGTAATACCGAGAAAAGACTGGATAGTGACAAACTCAACTGTCGCATGTTTCAAACACTTTCAAAGTGGAGATTTTCTTGTCAGAATCTCAACGGCGGGGGATAAAGGCAAAGATCAAGTCACCTCCTCAACTCTTTGCATTAAATGGGGCACCGTTCCTAAGATCTTCCCAAAGAAACCTCAGAATCCACCCGTCGGCGAGAAATTATGCCCTTGTCCAGAGGTGTTCGAAGATTTGGAGAAAGAAGAGTTCATCGATTGTGTGGTGGAATTGTGGTATATCAAACTAATGTATCGAAATAGGTTGGGAGACTTGTTATCTGCTTGGAACGCAATTGAAGAAACGGATAGCATCGTGTTTTACTCGTTAGATCTGTCCGAAATTCCACGTATTAAAGCTTCCGTAAAAATAGATAATTTTCTGTGTGTGACCGTGACGCTTGCCGGCAAAAAAATGGACCCAGGTGATTTGACGTGGATTTTACCTGTCGATGGTAAGCTAAGTAGGTGGTCACAGTTGAAGGCGTTGCTACAAGCGTTTATCAAATAAGGTTTAAACAATATTACTTAAATAAATCCTTTTGTATTATGGTTTGGCTTAATTTTTGAAATGATTTCTCTTTTGGAAAGTTCGAGTTTCAACAGTTCCTAAACGATTGCGAAAATTATCATTGATATCAATAATATGAGTAACCAATAGGTGGTTTAGAGGTAAGGACACCAAGAAGACAATTTAATGTAGTTTACTGTAGTAATCTAGTGGCAACATTTTGGGATTGTTTAAAATTATTAGTTTTTCTGAGGGTTAACACAGATACTAAGATCCCAAAATTTCCCAAGTCTCTCCAAAAAAAATTTTTCTGTTTGGATGTTATCTAATTGCCCATGTGTCCAGATGGTCGGTGCAATCAGTTCAATGACTTCAAGGTAGTCGATATCTCCCTGATAAAATCGACACAGGTATTGCGCCTAATTAAATTCATATCTTCGCACGAAGACACCCTGCTAATTTAACACCCTCGAGCTGGTCTGGTATTGTTCAGCAGGTAATACCCGGAGGCAGGAAGAGACTCTAAAAATACTACATAAAAGCGCCGTATCAAAATCCCAAATGCAAATACCTCTAAGTTATGAAAGGGCGTAGATCCCAATTAACACGAATAAAGATGATAACAATTACTAAGTTACGTGAGTTCAATCGTCAGATATCGGATGTCTGAAAAGAAAGATGACGAAGGAGTAGGCAAAATGGCTTCACTTACCACGCGTAAAAAATTTTCATTCACATCCTCAATAACACAGTTAAACGTGAATCCTCAAAGGAAATAACACGCCATTAGCTTTCGACCAACGTGCCCAACGAAAAGTTAAGAAAGAAGGAATCGAAGTTTTAGAAAAATGCCCTGCCTTTTCTGCGCTCAAAAATTGAGTGGTTATTTTTCATCAATAGATAGAGCCATCTATCAAATCGCTTCAACTGTTACGGGGTTTCTTCGTAGTAGTAAACCGTAAACAATAGTAATGATTTCTTGATGGAGAAAATACATCGTTACAGATTACTATAGGTACATACATGCTTTATACATTGTGGCCATTTGTAAACGAAACAGAGCCTATTTTGGGGACCTCAAAACATTTACGAAATAATCTTCGGACCCGTCAATTTTTGATTTAAGGGGGAACCATTTTTTTGCTAGTTTCGCCTCCCTGAGGGCAACGCCATAGCGGGGGTGACAAGCGCCCCCAAAATTTTAAATCGAATGGATGTGGATTATATCCCTTCAGTTTTAAATCAATTTTATTTTATGTGCTTAAAGCTAAAATGAATCAAGTAAATGTTGAAAATGTTGGCCTTCGACTTCCATTCAATAATACAGGTTTTGTTCGAACCTTTCCCGTACATTTTGAAAAACTTCTGGTGTAATTTGACGACATTCATCAATTATTCTTTGTCGCAAGTTGGCTGACTACCATAAATTGTAGTTTTGGCCTCGTAAAAAAAATCTAACGGACTTAAGTCCGGGGAATGAGGATGCCATTCAAAAGCTCCTCTTCTTCGAATCCATTGTCCTGGAAACGTTTGGTCCAAATATTGACGAACCCTTGCAGCATAATGGGGTGGCGCACCATCTTGCTGAAATACTAGATGATTTTCCAAGTACTCGTTATTTTCTAGTATAATACCTACTCGATGAATCGTATTTTCTAATAACTCCAGGTACATCTCTCCTGTTAAATAGCCAGGTAAAAAGAAGGGGCCTACGATATGGTTACCAAAAATGCCAGCCCAAACATTCAATTTTTCAGGATTTTGTGTACATGCACCTAACGAACTATTCTGCGATTTGAATCAGCCCAATAGCGACAATTGTGACGATTCACAGTACCGCTTGTCACCCCCGCTAGAACTTTGCCCTCAAGGGGGCGAAATTAGCAAAAAAATGGTTCCCCCTTGAATAAAAAATTGACGGGTCCGAGGATTTCTTCGTAGATGTTTTGAGGTCCCCAAAATAGGCACTGTTTCGTTTTCAAATGGCCACCCTGTATAGTATACAAGTAGGCACTGGCACCGTGATACACGGGTCGCTTGTAAACACCAAAAATAATCGCGGGCACCCTGTACATGACAATATTTCAGTTTATTAAAAGTAAATTTGATGTATTATTTACGGAATAAGGACAGAGTTGGGTTATTGTACCTGAATTTGTGTCTCAGTGTTGTTTTTTCATTTGAATTTGTTTGTAATTGCATAATTCTTGGCTTACGCCTTTTGTAAATTGTTTATTTAGATTTGTGTGTTTAATTGTAAAACATGAAATTGCGTGTTAAAATGTAAGCACGTCTGGTCGTTTGCAATAAGTTTTTATCGGACGAAATATATTTAACCCACGTGTTCTTATCGCTGTTTAGAAGATGCAGGTGTTTTACGATGTGCGAGTTATTTCGGCGTAAGTGGGACCCGTTCCTTCGAAGCTGCAATTATCTAAGGTGATTGTGATTGATGGTTGTTTTGAAAAATCGTAAAGAATGAAACCGGGCTGCTGTGACTGCGAGTTCCGCGACGGTTAAAGTGCGTGTAAATTTGTTATCGTCAAGTGAAGTAATAAAAGTTTGTGGCAACTTTTTAAAACGGTTTGTCCGTGTTCAGAATCCATTGTTATCAGCTTAGTAAAACCTTTTTAAAAGGTTAAAAGTTAAAAGTTTCTACCGTCCGGGCAGCCACCGACTATTTATCACCTTATTTATCAAGATCAAGTTTAATAAGAAAAGTTTCCTGTATCTGTTAGCGGGTATTTTTATATATTTGGTAAGTGCGTCTGAATATCCCAAACCTTTTAAGACCAGATTATTTGGATTATTAGAAAAAAACTAAGTAATTTAGGATTTTTTTAAAATTTTTAATTATCGACCGCTTGCGTGCGGGGTATTATGTCCAAACAAGCTTTGCAAGCTTTTCTTTCTTGAAGGGATTTTGTTTTAATTATTTCATGTGCTCGGAATAAATGGTTGCAGTTGTCAATCAATTAATTGTGTTTATTCGAATCCTTTGTGCGACCTAGATAGTCTTCATGACCAATTTTTCTAATCGTGCCCAAGCGTAAATCAAAAATTGTGTAATAAGTTTTTCGGAAATTGATTGAGTGCCTTAAATTGAAAAAATTTAAGCCAACATTAGGATTTCTTAATTTTGATTTATTTCGAGCTAATTGGACAGGTGTTTTGTGCGTATGTATGTAATATGTACACCTAGTTGACAAGAAATATTCGCTTCCCAAAGAAAATTCAAGTTCAACAAAACTGGTGCATTTGCCGACAACGTAACTAATCCTTGACATAATGGTTCAGTACTCTTCTCTTCCTAAGAGGGAGTTTTCTTAAGGAGCAAACTTACCAAGGTCAGTTTCCTTAAAGGCAAATATTTTTGAGGAGAAATTTGCTGACAAAATTCAATGGTGACCAATGAAATTTTCTTCTCCTCCTGTGACCTTAAAATACCACAAGAATTGAAATCTTCGACAAATAGCGACAGTACCATTCAGTAGGAAAACGAAATAAAAACAATTTCTAAGGCTCTCCATTTATTTTACAAAATGCTCGGAGAAATCAGCAGTTACCGCGTGACACCCGCACCCTGGTGTAGGTACATTTTTTCAGTTTGGAATCAGGCGGACATGCTTACAAATCCTAAAAAAATCTTCCGTTATTTGGAGTCCAATGGAAAACAATCACCCTGGAAATTTGGTTATGTAGGAAGAAGTTACGAAGGATGTGTACTTATATTTAAAATAAAATAACAAAGATGAGGACGTGTAACAATAATTTACAATCGTAGTAATAAGGGTTCAACAACCAAGCTTATTCCATCACGTAAACCATGAGTGCAAACCTTGGCCTTCTTTCCACAGCGATAAATCTATTGATGGTAACGTTTCGCAAGGAGTAAGGGGGTTACTGAAAAATCAATAATTAGAGAAAATTCAAGTGTTTGCGAAGTAGAAACCTTTCGGAGACCGCTTCAAAGGCCCGTGGTTGCATTAGTTGGACATTATTTCCATTGTCGCACAGCCATCCTGCAAAGCTTGCTTTTCTAATTTCGTTCAATTGCCCTAGAAGAGAAAATGAAAGTCATGGTGCAAGTTGACCAGTTTCAAGGATACCCAAGGAAAATCCTGGCCCGGTTTTGGGCGCCCCATTCTCGTAGAAGAACCTATCACCGACACGCGTTCTGTAAAATTGCTCCGTAAGAATGCAGAGATTAACAGGGCCCACTAGTGTTCCAGGAACAAGTACTTCCACAGCACCTCCGGCATTGAGCTCGACATCGTCCGGATGTTCGTAAAGAGCTGCCAACTTTTCAACGTTCTGGAATGCAAGGCAGCGTAATTAATTCATGTCGGTCTTGCTCGTTGAAGTTTTACCTCTGGTGAAATTACATCAAGAAAATCCTCAAATGTGTGGGCTCTACGTAAGCCACAGAAAACTCTAATATCGTTATAGGATGCTAGACCATGATCTCTCCCTCTTTGTATATCTGTTGCCTTTAAATCGGACCCAAACTGTTGCCTTGGTGTGCGGAATAAAAATTGAGTAACCTAAAAGTTGGGAGTCAACCCTTGTGTAGAAACCAGAAAATGAGTCTACCTCACTGTCGACGAATTGCGTAGATTTCCGTTGGGGCTGAGTCGACAAACTACGAGTCAGTGCGTCAAACGTGTCTCCTTGCTCCAAAACGGCTGGACGATTAAACCAATCGCTTAGTCTTATAGTGCCGCTGACCTCACGATGTTCCGTGACCATACTAAAAGTTGCCTTCGCAAATTAACCTGGTTAAGCGTTACTTACTTAAGAAATCCGACAATCAGGTTATGGAAGAATCTGAAAGCGGATGTGGCGTGTTCATTGATTATGGTAGGATCGACGCTTTCGCTGTAGTCATTCACATAGTCCCCGTGATTCTCGTGAGCTAGGCCATTTTTAAGCGAATTGGTTACTCCTAACAGCAATGGCAGGTATTCGTAATACGTGACATGTTGATGCTGGGCGATGTTAATTTGTCGAGCTTCCTGGAAGATGGTTTCGTCGTCCCAGTGAGGATTTAACTGAGCTAGGGCGTCTGCAAGTCGATTGTGTTCTCTCATTAGCACCGTTTGCAAAAGTGTCAACTGTGGATTTTGATTAACACGTAAATCACCGGCTAAGTAACAAGGCTCATTAGGCGATAAGGCACCCGAGCATACTGCGCTAACGTTATTATTTTGAGGCAACCATGATTGGCCGTTTCTTTCGCTCGCCAATAGCCTACCCCCCTGAAATTGTCTGATCTGCTGATTTACCTGAAGTGTGTTACCGTACACTAAAGATAAGTCTAGGAAATGGCTGACTGTGGTTATCTGAAATGGAAACAGCAATCACTGGTGCTCACCAACCGAAAGTACCTGTTCGGCAGGCTTTTCATTGTCTACGCAGTTTCGATCACGATTCGTAATTGTTCTAACAAAGTTCATACACCTTTTGTTGGCCGCTAAACTTTGTGGGTCACCTTCCGGCAGTAAAATTGCAAAACAAGGGGTCGGTATACTAGCAGTGCTGCTCAGGATCTGTCCATCATCTGTACAGCAACGGGTGGAGTGCGGAGCTGCGAGTTTGAAAATTAGAGCACACGTGGAATCATTCAAGAAAACCAACTTGACTGCGTGCTCCCAGCTATCAAATCCATATCGTGCGTGATAATCTGGCCATACTGCATTAAGGCGAGAGTAAAACGGGGATCGATCTTCTTAATATCGGGGAACAGAGTTAAACTGACCACTCGAGCCAATGGCAGTACCTTCCCACTTTTGGCAACAGGCGGAGCACTTATTCCTAAATGAAGAGATCAAATCTATGTTTTATTACAACCACTTACCATCAGCGTAATTAGGGGGTAACAATCTGGTGAATGTCGTTTGGGCTGCCCCCCAGGTGGGATTAACTGGATTGTTGCACGATCCATCATACGTTCTGTAGTTCGAATCGGTACAAATCGGATTGATGTTGCATTGTGTTTCTGGTTCAAGCAGCTCTTCATTTCCACTGGGATAGTCACTAAATGGAGAGTTTTAAAACAGTTTATTACGTTTGTCGTTCACATACCCTGGGAACGATGGGTGGAAGAACCCCTTTACGTAATTATCATAATAAGGCGAGTCGTCAGGATCACTTCCGTGATAGTACTGTGCATTCGTTCGAGAAATGGTGACCATCAAACATATTACCAGTAACTCTATGTATGGAATCATGTTTTGGTCTGGTATCTGAAAAAGGGGTGAATGCCATTATCGTAATTGAAAATAGAACAATTCATGCGTAGTGGAAATAATAGGCCAATAACGGAAAGTGTTATCAACACGCATTCGGTTAACCATCAGATATTGTTTAAATCAACCTTTGTATTTATTTCGGTTTATACAGGGTGGGAACAATATATCAAATATACTGGCTATACTTTCTTGTTGATCAAAGATTAGCGTAACGCATACGACGAGGTGGTGAGGCTAAAAGTACCACGAATGGTCCGAATAACTGTTTTTGAGGAGGACCCAACATTTGTCGCGAAACAGCAGCTACGGTTTATGGGATCAGCGATTGGGCGAGGAACCAACAGCCAAGCCATAAGACGAACATTTGAAAGTGGCTCTCGTAACAGGAAGATGAAGACCAACCTTGATAACCGTCAGTGAAATAGAAATCTCTGCGGAAAAAATTTAAGATCCTCACCCGGAATCCGACCTTCCGCTTGGCTAAGAGGCTGCAGCGTTTCCAGGGACCAACCGCCAGAGAACGGTTTTAAGCACGGCACAATCCTGTGTGAATGTGTAGAAAAGTGAAGAAAAATAGCACACTATATCGAGATGGCGGTACGGAGCAAACAGATAAAACCAGGAGAGGGAAAAAGAAAAAGGTACCAAAAAAAAGATACGCCTGGTAGAGGGCGCTATTCCTATTAAACAGCGGTACTATCCAGTAAATCCGATTAAACAGAAAATCATTAACGACACCATTGATGAGATGCTTAGGGACAGAGTCATCGAACCATCGAACAGCGGATGGGCTTCACCTGTCTGTCTGATTCCCAAGAAAGACAAAACCTATAGATTTTGTGTGGACTATAGGAAACTTAACTCTTTAACTGAGCGCGACGCTTTTCCTTTGCCCTATATCAATACCATCTTAGACCAATTACGTGACGCTAAATATCTTAGTTCCCTGGACATTAAGTCAGCTTATTGGCAAATAGAGGTTGCTGAGAATTCGCGCCCTTTCACAGCTTTTACTGTGCCTGGTCGTGGTCTTTTCCAATTTCGAAGGATGCCCTTCGGCTTGACTAATGCCCCTGCGACTTTTCAGCGCATTATCGATACCATTTTGGGACCTGAATTGCAACCCAACGTTTTGGTTTATTTGGACGATGTGGTTATTATATCACAAGACTTTGACTCACATTTAAAAATTTTGAACACCGTTTTTGACAAATTAATTGCTGCTGGCTTCACTCTGAATAAAAACAAATGTCACTTCTGCCGTTCAGAACTTAAGTATTTAGGGTATGTTGTGGATTCCTTTGGCTTACACCCAGATCCTGACAAAGTCAAGGCGATTTTAGATATTCCAACACCCACTACGGTGAATGATATACGACGTTTCTTAGGAACTTGCGGTTGGTACCGTAGGTTCATTCCTGATTTTTCAACCGTTCTTGCTCCTTTAACCAGACTTCTTCGGAAAAATGTTAAGTTTGAATGGACGTCTGAATGTGAGGAATCTTTTCTCAAATTAAAAGAACTTTTGGCAACTGCACCTGTGCTCAATTGCCCGGATTTTACCAAACCTTTTGTCCTTCAGACCGATGCTTCTGCTTATGGGCTAGGAGCTGTCTTGACTCAAACTTTTCCGGATGGGGAGCGAGTGGTATGTTATTTATCCCGATCATTATCCCGAGCGGAACAAAATTACAGCACGACTGAACGTGAGTGCTTAGCAGTCATTTGGGCGGTAGAGCAACTTCGACATTACCTCGAGGGAGTTTCTTTTACAGTCATTACTGACCACCATTCTCTTTTGTGGTTGCATTCTTTGAAAGACCCCCAAGGACGTTTAGCACGCTGGGCTCTTCGTTTACAGCCGTATACCTTTACTCTTGTCCATCGTAAAGGCAAGGACAATATTGTTCCCGATCTTTTGTCACGTACTGTACCTGTGATCGAAGCTGTACATTCTTCAGATGTTACGGTGGATCCGAACGATTTCAAAACTTCTAAAGACCCTTGGTACCTTGGTATGTTTGAAAGATTAGAGCGAAGTCCTCATAAATATCCCGATTGGCGAGTGAAAGATTCGTTGTTGTATAAATATATCAAGTCCGCTTTACAATCTCATGATTATGAAAAATGGAAACTTGTTGTTCCTTCTGATTTTAGACAATCTCTTATACAAGAGAACCACAATAATGTTACTTCAGGACACCTTGGTGTTTATAAGACCTTTTGGCGCATTCATCACCGATATTATTGGCCGAGAATGAAGTGCGATATTAAGCGTTATATTTCTCGCTGTACCACCTGTGCACAACATAAACCTGAACAACTTCGACCTGCAGGGCTTATGGGTTCACATCCTCAAATTTATGAACCGTGGCAGATGATCAGCTTAGATTTTATTGGTCCTTTACCTCGATCCACTCAAGGGCGAACTCATTTATTAGTTGTTAGTGACTATATGAGTAAATTTGTACTTCTTTTTCCCATAAGGACGGCGAATGCCAAAACTCTTGTCAAATGTATTGAAGATTCTGTATTTCTTGTGTATGGAGCTCCACAATTCCTTATTTGTGACAATGGCGTGCAGATGCGCAGTAAACTTTTCTTAGATCTGTGTGAAAGCTACCGTGTAAAGGTTCGGTTTACTCCTTTTTATCATCCACAGGCTGATCCTGCGGAGAGGGTGAATCGTGTGGTAAAGCAATTGATAGCCACTTACGTTAAGAACAATCACAAACATTGGGACGTTCATTTAGCTTCGATAGCTTGTGCTCTTCGAACTTCTAAGCACGAAACCATAGGTGTGACTCCCTATCGTGCTAATTTTGGGAAAGAATTTCGTATTCGAGGGGACAGCTTCGACACTGACATGACGGACAATGAGCCGATTGACGTAGAACAACGGTTAGCGCAACAGCAAGGACTGTACGACAAAATTATTGCACGCATTAAAGACAGTCATGACCGCAACAAGCAACATTATGACTTACGACGTAGGCATGTTAACTATGAGATAGGAGATTTGGTTTGGCGTAAAAATAAGACTTTGTCTGATGCCACTAAAGATTATTCAGCGAAGTTAGCTCCCAGATTTTTAGGACCATTTACGGTTAGCCGTAAAATGGGGTATTTGACCTATGAGTTGAAAGATTCTAATGGTAAATCTTCTGGAACGTGGCACGTCCAGGATCTCAAACCTTATATTGAACCCGATGATCATGGTTAGACATTTATTGTCGCCGGATTGCTTGTTTGTTGACGATTTTGAACCACTAATTTTGACGTATTCTTATTCTTGGATTTGACTTTGATATATGTATTTATATGTTATATGTTCCATATTTCTTCTTCTTCTTACTCTTTGGGTGGTTTGGTTGGGCACAGGGGATGGACTCTCGGATCGTAGCAACAACACCTGCTAGGGGATTCGTCCCGATCCATTATCCTCCTTCTTTCTTTTTCTATCTGCACCTCAAACACTTTTCTTCTTCTAATTTCCTCAGGGGAAATTTGGGAGAGGTTGCCCTTTTCTTTTCGCTTTCCTATATTCTATCTTTTTCTACTCTTCTTTCTTCCATTTCCGTTCCATAGAATGAATGAATGTTTGAATGGATGGGTAGTTGACACACAAGAGGAAGGGGGTGGGTGCGCCTTCCCTGTGCGAGCCTCGGTGACCATGGGACCCCTGGAATCGGCATGAATGAGTTTTTTTTTCTCCGCAAATGTGATTTCTTCTTTCTCTCTTACTATCTTCTATCCATAGCACCTTCTTCATTTCATTGCGCTAGTGCATGGTGGAGTTGGGTTGGAAAGGTACCTTCTTTTTGGGGGTTTCCTTCTACACTTTTTCGGCAAGGGGGTCAAAATTTGGGCTTTTGTGTCGTTTTTAGTCAGGGAGGGGGGTTTCTTTATTTTGGGGATTTTGGTGCTGCATCACTTGAAACTGTAGGGTTTCTTTCTTCTGGGTGGGCACTGGATTTGGTTTTCTTGGGGGTGACTAGTAGTTGGATTGGGTTGTGGGAAAGGGGTTGCTATTGTCATGATACCCGACGGCGCGAGATTCCATCTTTACGCGAGGGCATGTCAATACCCGATTTTGCATACCTTTTCCGCTGCTGGAGAACCTGGGAAAATTCTTTGAAGGTGAAATTCTTTGGGGGGGAGTTTTTTTTACACTGGGGTGGGTTTTCGGGTTTTCAATTTGTTTGCTTCCTTTTCGAGTGTGTGTGCTGGGTTTTTCGATCGTCGGAAAACTTGTAGTTTCCCTCCTGTCGAAGGAGAGGGGGGGTGTAACAGTTTAGTTTATTCATATTCAAATTTCAAAATTACCGTTTGCTAGGTTAGGCAGGATATAGGTGAGATGGCGTCACTTGTACGCGTGTTTCTTTCCTCGCGCAGAATCGCGTTAATTTTTCACTTCATTTCTTGTTGTAGAGCGTGGCATTGTGAATTCTTCTTAAACCAGTGGGTAATATTTGCCATCATTCACGTAAAATCTCTGGCAATTTTACCGTTTTCATTGGCGTTGTCGAGTAGTGTAACTCAGAAGCCGTTTTCTCCATTGCGAGGCTATATCTGGTGGAAGTTCATCGCCCTACCTACATGTAAGTGAAATGGCGTTGACTTTCTTTTACGTTATGTTATCTAAAATTCTTTCAGATTCACAACCTCTTGGATAATTTCCATATTTCATTGATTTAAGTATTTTTCATTACCCTCCTGACGATTTCAGGTATGTTATTAAAAATCTCGTTAAGGGAGTGTTACATCTTCATTACTTTTAGGGGGTCCATGTAGTAGATGAATTCTTGTACCGGTCAATCCATGTAGTAGGTCAATCCTTGTACAGACGAATCCTTGTATGTAAATGAATTTGCATCTTGCGAATATTCCGGAGTACGAACACCTGTTGATTGCCGGCAGCTATCCGGCGTACCACCGAGTAGATAAGCGCTAACACCTAAACGATACCGGGAGCGACCAGCTGATTGTGGAAT